TTATTGAGATTTTTTGGGAATTTTTGGAATTTTTGGGATTTTGGGTCCAAGAGGGGTATTTTGGTAATTTGGGGGTGCTTTAGGGGTAAAAGGCCAAGATGGGTATTTTGGTAGAGTTGAGGTACCAATCATCACCAATAAGTCATGGACCAAAGGAAACCCCATTTTGGGTCCTCTACATAGTGGTCTTAGCTAAACCATAGCCCTAGGGCTAGTAGATTTAGGGGACCATCTACATGAGTATCCCAAAAATCAAGGGATCTAGGTTAGAAATTTGAGCTCAGGGTTGTGAGTGATTGTGAGTGCAGATGAGTGTAGTGAGTGCCTTAGCTCCAGACCAACACCCAAGGTCAACCCTAAGGTCCAGCAATCCTAGGGGTGACTCATCCTAAGTTTCCCCCATAGTGACCCCACATACTAAGTACATAGAGGTTGGGAGCAATATGTGGAACTCCAGGTTGAGTAAAGAAGAGGGTAGAATTTCTAATGGTGAGGGTTCCAAGTCTAGTTTTCTAAGAATAGTCAACAGGAAAAGTCCTATGGCTAGACCTTAGGCTACTAAAGAGAAAAAAACTAAACCTCAACCAAAAATGAGGTCAACACGCCAAAATCTGACGCTATAGCACCTGAATCCGATGCTATAACACTACCTTGGTGTAAAACACCTGCTTTGCTCCGTTTTGGCTGCATTTCGCCCCGTCTCAGCTCCAATTCTCTCCTAGTGTTATACTTACAAGATGTAATTTCATCCAAAAACATGTGATAAATATAGAGAAAATTAAGCATAAAAAGTCATATCAAAATGCGCCAGTATTATTCCTTATTCATTTTGGCTCCAAATTGCACCATTTTTTATTTATTTTCGCTAAAACACCTTTCCTTGTATCTGAAACCAAAAACATGCAAAATACATTTTTTTAACGTGCAAAATCATAAAAAATGTGCATATAATGAATATTTAATATATATTAAAAAGCTGATAATTTTACGGTGGATCATTAATGAATAACTATTAGAACATGTCAATACAACAAATTCTATTCAGCCTTATCCATCTTTTCTGGTCGCTTTCCTAGTAACGGAAGATAAATTTCTTCCCATAGAGATAGTTGCATCATCTAGTAACCAAAACCGGTGCTATCAAATTTCTCGATCCATGATACCATCACTTCATCTCTAGTCATTGCTTTTCCTCAGATCCGAACCTTAGCTCTGCTACTAATTGTTGTGAAAAATAACGCAACAAAGCAAAAAATTGGAATGAGAAATTCACAAACGGAAAACAGAGAAAACAAAGATTTATGTGGTTCGACAAATTGCCCACGTCCACGGAGTTGTAGAGGATTTTATTACTTTGAAGAATTACACCTTCGATCACATCGACTACAAGAAAGAGTTCTCTCTCTATCTCTTCTTCTCTAACTGCGAGCCACCACACATGAAGAAAAACTAAGGAAAGCCGATCATGCGATTTGCTTACTTTTCCCGTATGCAGAACGAAAGAAGAAGAACAAGGGCGACGCCCCGTAAGCCATCATCGTAGGAACACAAAGGAAGAAGCTAGTACCATTGAATCCTTCCCGTTTTCTTTTAAGGGTCTGTTTGGGGCAGCTGCTGCTTATCCAACTTCTGCTGATAAGCAGCTTATCCTGATAATCTGCTGATTAGCAGCTGATCCAGATAAGCTGTCTGGCTGTTTGGTTGACGTTTCTCGACGCTTATGAAAAACAGCTGATTCTAGAAAATTGACCATTTTGTCTCTGTTTTGAATAAGCAGTTTAGCTGTTTGGTTAGTGCGTTTTGTAAACAGCTTATTCGGAAAAAAAATTTAATTAAATGAATAATCTGTGCAACAGAATTTGTTCTTTTCTCAACAAAATTAAAAATCACTTTTCAGACAAGAAAATACCAAAAAGTTGATTTATATTTATATAACTAAAACATATCCGATCACATGAAACGAATATGTTACACATACAAAAGTCAAATGCACATGCACATACTACTACAAAGTATAATGAGCACCCATACAAAAGAAAAAAAATAACATGTTAAAATGACAAGTAAAAATATGATAATGTTAACTTTATAATGTAGCAGTATTTTGAGTTGAGATTTATTGAGTTGAGATTTATTTACTTAGTGAAAGAAAAAATATCATATAATAAAGAAGATTTTTCCTCACAAATGATATTTCATTTAGGAGCATTTGCATGCATCCCACCCAACTCCTTTGTATTTACATATCTAATACCTGAATTTTATCTTTTATATTAATATCACCTAACTTTTTCATACCATATCAAAAATATCATTATTTTAGCTTTCAAAAAGTGAATACAACTTTGAATGCAAAAGTAAAATGGCATATAAATGTCAAAATTAAAATGAACTAAGAGCAACTAATATGAAGTAAGGAAAGTAGAATAAGGGGGAGTAAAGAAACAATAAAGCTCAGCTAAATCCAAACTCAAAAAGCAACTCCAACCAAATTCAAAAGAAAAATCATTTAAGAAAACATCCTAAAGGGTTGAAACAAAGTTTCCATTTAGATTTATTTGCAAAGGAAAATTTCATGAAAAATTTATCAAGAATGACCAAGTAACCAAACAAGTTGATAATGCAAAAAAAAAGACCTGTTGATAACACACTTGAAAACCAAAATTTGATACTTTCACCATCGCACTTTTCCTCAACCCAGTAGATAGCAGCCCTAAAGAATATCAAAAATATAGTTCAATCATGCTGAGTCTACTTTAATATTCATTAGACAACACCTCATCTTTTTACA